TGAGGATTGTGCGTCTGAATGGTTACTGACTAAATTTGGGATAATTAGCACATAACGTCTCCACCTTTCACTACTATTACGGAAAACGTCCTTATCTTAAATTTTTTGTCATTTTTACCCTTATTTCCACATTTCATTGCGTAAAAGGTCATTTTTATCCATTTTCCCAATTAAAAATTGTGAAATGACGAATATACTATTCTCTTTAAATAAAAAAACTAGTTGCAATAATTGTCCCAAATTTTTTTAGAAAGAGCAAATGAGTTCCATATAAATTATTCAAAGGGTAATTAGCTTTATACATTTCACTATTATAGTGAAAAAGTCTCTTACGTTTCATTTTTTGACATTTTCACCTTTAATTACACTTTTGATTGTACAACCATTATTTTTATCATTTTCATTCAATTTCTCAATAAAGAGCTGTGAAATGATGAATATACAATTCTATTTAAATAAAAAAGCTAAAGAATTAATTGCAACCATAATCCCAAATTTTTAAAAAGTGCAAACGAGTCCCAAATCAATTATTAAAAAAATAAAAATTAATTTTTTTAAAAAAAGTGCAAACGAGTCTCAAATAAATTATAATTAAATTAGAAATTAAAAAAAAATTCTTTAATTTTATTATTATTTTTAAATAGAATGGTATATTCATTATTTCACAGTTCTTTATTGAGAAATTTGATGAAAATAGATAGAAATGATGGTTTGCTCAATCAAATATGTAATTAAAGGTGAAAATGTCAAAAAAAAAAAGAAAAGAAAAGAAAAAGAAAGGTAAAGATGTTTTCCGCTATAATAGTGAAAGGTAGGGACATTATGTGTTAATTACCTTTTCAATAATTTATTTAGGACTCAGTTGTGCTTTTTTTTAAAAATTGGGACTATGATTGCAATTAGTTTTTTTCTTTGTCATTCTGTTTTATTTAAAGAGAAGGGTATATTCGTCATTTTACAATTTTTAATTGAGAAAATGAATGATAATGACCTTTTGATAAAAAGTGAAAATAAGGGTGAAAATGCCAAAAAATAAAAAGTAGGGACGTTTTCCACAATAATAGTGAAAGGTGGGAACATTGTGTGCTAATTACCCCTAAATTTGTTAAGAATTTCTATTTCCTGCCATGATAACAGTAAGCAACAAAATGGGTGGTTAAATGCGATTCTGTACTGCCCCATTTCTGAAAAATTGACTAGCAGTTGACAGCTTAACATCGTACCAAGGGAATATATAATTCTTTATGCTTATGAGACTGAGAAGGAAGATGAGGATATGATGTATTACTTACTGCTTGCTGTAGACTTGGAGGCCCTTCATGTTGTAATTGTTGAAAAATCAGATCAGTGAAGTTCAGTAATATTTGTCTGAAGGCAGAGGATGAAGAATTGGAGATGTGGATAAATCTGATACCCATATTGAATATTACATCGCATTTAATTGTTCAAGACTTAAGGTTTTTGACACTAACAATTTTAATTGTAGTTTTCCTTCGAAGCTTAAATGTATGCAGGGGAAACATTTAGGCGAATTTACGTAGTCCTGAAACAAAGTCATTAGAAGTTTGATGTGCTTAGGCCAATAGTTATTAGAATTGAAACATCAATTTTTTTTTCTTATAAAGACAATTTTCTAGTCTAGATTCATGCTGTATGTTGTATGTGATAACCTATTGCTGGTATGGTAGCCCATCAGAATATCAAATGGAGGGTGTATGCCTTGCTATTGTTTATAAAAACCTTTTTGAGGCTTACGCTTGAAGTGAAAGTGCTCTGTCTGACTTGAAAAGCTTTAACAGAAGAAGCTCTTCTACAAAGAGCAGAAGCAAAAGCTTTTCCAAACAGGCCCTTACTATTCATTTCTACATTGAGTAGCTGACTATCTTCTGCTTCCAGGTTTGAGAGAGAACG